CTGGTCTCCACTAGTGCCCGGAGGTTCCGGTGGATTGCCTGTTCCTAGGGTCGTTCGGTTCGGGAAGTCCGCGCAAGCATTGCCGCAGCGGCGATGTTCTGATTGGCCCGAGCGAACTGTGGGGGATCGTTCCCCCCGTCCATGGTGTTGCGCTGGACCCGACGGGCGCAACCCCGAGCACCGCTCACCGGTTTATGCGCACTGGGCGCAGTGTGGTACGCCGAGCGCGCTAGCGCAATCGGTAGCTAGTTCAACCATTGTTGTCGTAGCTCCTCGCCGTGCTTCTATGTGAGCGCGGGGTCTCCGCACGAGGGTGTGTGTCTACAAGGACTCCATTACCACTGGTGGCTGTCCCGAAGCGTCTACCATAGCGCACTCCCGGGACACACGGTGGCAAGGCGCCACGTCACCGATGTTGGAGCCGTCACTCTCAACATCGTCATCCATGAGGTCAAGGAGATAGGTGGGAGCATAGATCGCCATCCCCACGAATTCGGACGTGAGAGGGGGCGGCGCCGGCATCCTTTGGAGCCCCCGGGCGTATGCGTCCGTGGGGGACGCGAGGCCGTAGGGGAACCAGTCGCATGGCGGTCACGGCGAGGACAATGGGGTCCCTCCGGATAATCGGCGGAAGATAGAGAATAGCAAGTAAATAACATCATGTATATTACTCACAGTGGGGTTTGAGCAGAGAGTTTGCTTGGAATGAAGCGCAGGTGCCTCATCGTTGAAGTCGTCGTGCGTCCCGGAGCCGATGGAGGGTGCCCCTCCGATGGGCGCCAGAATGAGTGCCTCCTCACGGAGGTGTAGTACACCGAGCCGGTTGACAAAGAAGTCCAGGCTTCCAAAGAGGAAGGCCTGGGACGGCTCAGAGATGGGTGGAACCCACATCCCAATAGGTGGGAGTGCGGGAAACTCCAGTGAGCCAAAAAGTGTTGAACGTATAGCGTCTTCCCCACGAACGGCGCCAACTGTCCGTGCAGAAAGTGACCAACACGTAAATATTTGTAGTTTTGCCATACGTTGTGATTGGAGGTGGCCTAGCACTCAATGACATAGGATTTATACTGGTTCAGGCAACGTGCCCTACATCCAGTTTGAGTCAATCGGTGACTTTATTCCTAAGCCCAGGTGCTCGAATTTGGCAGTGGGGTTACAAACGAGAAGGAGAAAGATGGGGGGTACAAGAGGTTCGGTCGGACTCTGGTCAGAGGAGACGAGAGTGATGGGAGCCCCGCTATGCACTAAGTGTTTGAGCGTGTGCTCGTGGTTTGAACCTGTAGGTTCTGTTGTTGTGGACTAGTGAACTGATCGATCGAATGAATCTGTTGGGAGAGAGCGCATCCCTTTTTATAGATGAAGGGGATGGCCTTACAAGTGAGAGGGAGAGAGTACGTATGCTACTAAGCCTTGTTACCCATGCCGGCGGGTACAGGATGATGGTAGGCGCCCACAATACTGTTGTATGTCAGATGCATGTGGGAGGTCGTGTTGTCTTCTTCAGGTATGGCAGACGTTAGCGCCTGCCACACTGTTGATAACAGGAGGCGTGCAAGGGGTTTTACCATGTTCGCCAGGTACGGTAAATGTCGGCGCCCACAACACTGTCGATGCCCAGAGGCATGTGGGGGAGCCTTACCGTATGAGAGTTAATGGCGCGCACAATACTGTAGGGGAAAATGTCGGCGCCTACAACACTACTTGGGTTCTGTTGTGCCAGGGAGGTCGCAGAGTACTATTTCTGTAGGTGTACAGGGTATGGTCCCTGGTATTGTGGTTTAACTTGTGCGCCCTGCCTTACTTTCTCCGTCTGTTTCCTGGTCCTTACCGAGCGGGCGTCCCCAGTCGGTTGGTCCTAGTCGGCTCTGATCGCGCCAGTTGGAGAAGAGTAGCGAGCAGGGGTTTGGCGCATCCCCGGTCGGAGATGCGGGTTGGAGTCGGAAGCGGTGTTTGGCTAGGCCTTTCGGTCGGAGAGGCTGTCCGGAGGCGGGCTGGAGACCGAAGCGAGCGCTCCGGTCAGAGAGGCGGGCCAGAGTCGAAAGCGGGCGACATTCCTCCTCGGCCAGGCCTTCCAGTCGGAGATTAGATCGCCCCTCTGGCCTATCGTTTAGGTACTTGGGCCGGCCCATGAGTTGCGCGTTGTCTGCTTGGGCGAGCCTTTGTTGGGAAGCCGGTTCGCAAGGGATACCGGGTTTACGAACCCAAGAGTTCCGAGCAGGGGGCGGGCGTGGTTTCGTGCACGGGGCGGGGGGGACACTCAGACGGACCCGAGGTACGACCGGACGGCCCTTGAAGCTGGGCGTTCGGGCACTAGGTGCGCCATTTTAGATTTGTATGTTCCTGAACATCATGTGTTCTGTTTGTCTAGAAGAGTAGAACCTATATAGTCCTCAAGTTGTGCCCATAATGTAATGATATAGTTAGTTATCATATATCAACATGATCCTTGCAAAATTATGTAGTGTTTGCTTGTGCCAAGACTTATGCTATTCGCTGCTTCTTTGAAGCTTGTTGTTATCTTGTTTCAGGTATTAAGATGGGCGATTTAGAAATGACTTGGAGGGATGAGCTTTCTCAGATCCATACTCCCATCCCGACGCGCACCTGCCAAAAAAAAAGAAATTGCCCGATCGTTCCACTCCTGCGGCGCCACCATCCCACTCATCCCCCGAGGCATCTCCGCCCGCCACCAGTCGCTGCGCCTGCCGCCGGCCCCTTCTTCCTGTCCCTCGTCCGGCCAGAGCTCGCCGGCAGCTGCCTGTGCCTACGGCCGCCCCCTACCTCTCGGCCTATCTCTGCCTTCTCCTCCGCCCGCCTACGACGGTGGCAGCCCACATCCCGACCAACGCTCGTCGGTGGCCTTTCCCCGCCCGCCCCTCCACTCGCCTCTAGAAGGGGCCGTGGCGCTGCCCTTCGCCTGCCGATCCCCCGCTTGTGCTACGTCGTACGGAAGAAGGGTGAAAAACACATGTTGCAAGCTTATGTTTTAGGTGTTTCATAGACATGTTACAAATGTTTCATAAGGATATTGTAAAAGTAGATCGGAGTATTGCATATGTTGCAATGATTGTATACGTATGTTGCAAGCTTCTACTCCCAATGTTCTGTTTTTTCAGACGTATGTTGCAAGTGTGTTATTTTGGATGTTGCGTATATTTCATACATATGTTGCAAATGTTTTATCTGGATGTTGGGTATGTTTTACAATGGTTTTGAGGTGAGTGTTTCAGATGCATGTTTCATGTGTTTCGTCTGTCTTGAAACATATGTTGCAAGTGTTTCATCTGGATGTTTCAAAAGTAGATCGGGTGTTGCATCTCGCTCCCTCCTCACCTTCGCTTACCGCCTCGGTGTCTCCACCTTCTCTCGGCGCCGGCTGGGCATCCTAACCATAGGCGCAGGCGGGCGCCGCCCCCGTGGGATGTCGGCGCGACGGGGGACGGGCCGCCACGAGTACACGCGGGCGCACACTCCTTTGGTTCCGTTATGCGGGGAGGGATAGGTGCGCTTGTTTCTTCTGTTTTACACTGAGATTGGACGGCTCCGAGTTGCGTCCGGATGCATCCTCGGGCCGGATGTCCGGGCGATAGTCATCCCGTTGTCAGATAACTGCAGCCCAAGTATTAGTGAACTTTCAAAGACTCGCTGAACCCAAAACCTGAAGGTATAAAGTTGCAGTTTTGTGGTAGTTTTTTAGCTCTTCACTGAGTTTTTTTTTGTGCACTCCTGCACACAATGTTCTATTTTCAAAGGAAATTATATCTTGTGACGTGCCTATATTGACTACCAAAGGGGCCTCACCATCAATACTTGCAATATACAAAAATAACATGATGATTACTCAATAATAAATTCTTAAGTCTTATTATAGATGACTAAATGAAAAATAACAGCACATGACATTATTAGAAAATAAAAACATTATTTTCTCGCACCCGTTGTCTGAAGAATCCCACCACTCAAGGGATACGAATGAAAGAAAAAAACAGAGGAGAGGGCATCGCACATGCTATTTCGTATTGGGGATACAGAACTACACATACATATAACAACAAGAACTGTAATACTTGGAGTGAGGTCTCGATCTCCAGATTAATACATTCCTCAAAAGCTCACTTCTTTGTAAGCAAACGTAGTTGAATTGGTTGATCAGTCATCACCAGGCCAGCAAGCCCACTTCTTAAATTTGCAAGCAAACGTATTACGAGAGATTTCTGCCAGCAAATTCCTCAGAAGCACATGGCCAACTCATCTTGCATTGGGTCATCCTCACATCTCCTTCAAAAGCATAGGGCAATTTTTAGCCACAAGCTCCAGTATGTCATGGTCGGTCGCCATGACCGCCTCGAGCACAGGAGGATCTCCAAGGAACTCAATGCAGGCATCCCTAAGCGTATGGCACTGGTGCTGTACAACCAGTCTCAATTTCTTCGTGACAGTATTCACGTTGATGTCACTGCTCAGTATCTCCTCGCAAATCAGCTTGAGCTCCTGCATGTCGAACCTATCCGCGGCTGCCAGCAAACGCTCAGTATCATTCTGCTTATTACTGGCAATTATTGATGGCTTCGAGACACTAATTTTTTCTGTGCACTTTGTGCTAATTTGTTATTTTATACATAGGCTGGGTTGTTCCAACAGTGTTTGCAACATACAAAATAACATGATGATTACTCAATAATAATAAATTGTGAAGTTATTGATGGCTAAATGAGAAATAATTGCACATGACATTAGAAAATAAAAAAGATTATTTTCTTGCACCCGTCGTCTGAAGAATTCCACCACTCAAGGGAAAGGATACAGAACTTTACAGATACATATATCACCAAGAACCCTAATACTTATAGTGAGGTCTCGATCTGACGATCTCCAACTTAATACATTCCTCAGAAATTAAAGCTCACTTCTTTGTAAGCTCACCCGTCCAGCAGACCACTTCTTAATTTTGTAAGCAAACGCACATAGTAGTTTACGAGATATTTCTGCCAGCAAATTCCTCAAAAGCACATGGCCAACTCATCTTGCATTGGGTCATCCTCATACGCCCACATCTCCTTCAAAAGCATAGGGCAATTTTTAGCCACTAGCTCGAGTATGTCATGGTCGGTCGCCATGACCGCCTCGAGTACAGGAGGATCTCCAAGAAACTCAATGCAGGCGTCCCTAAGCATATGGCAGTGGTGTTGTACAGCCAGTCCCAATGTCTTCGTGACAGTATTCACATTGATGTCACTGCTCAGTATCTCCTCGCAAATCAGCTTGAGCTCCTGCATGTCGAACCTGTCCGCGGCTACCAGCAAATGCTCAGCCATGATCGACTCTTCTTCTGGCCCCGTCGTCATCTCCGGCAACGAATCTGTGTACACAAAATGTAGCACGCTCTTGAACACCTGAGGCAGCATATCGTCGATGTGTATGCAGCAAGCCCCTGCTGCCAAGGTGCTCTCTCTTGCGAGCTCCGCCTCCAACACCGGCGACTTGGCAGCAAGAACACACCTGTGGACGCTGAACGCCTCTCCGCCGACTTGGAACGTGACGTCGGGATCCAACGAGAGACGCTGCTGCAAGTCGTACGCCCTTTCGACGGAGACGACGCACTCGATAGTGAGGCGGTCGTCGACGAGATACTCCGACGCCTCCAAAGACTCCTTGTGGATGAAAAGATCGCAGCCGTACCAGTCTAGTTTAGAGTACTCCCATACGCCTGAGCAGGAGTGACCAGGCACGGGTTCCCCAGCACCATCGAGCAAAGTGAAACTAACTCGTGCCTTGACAGGTTCGTCGGTGACTGCTCTGCCGCCAGCGCCGGCGATGAAGATTGAAATGTAGTCTGCGCTGGAGGTGGAGCGGCCGTTGGGGTAGTAGTAGATGCACCTGGAGCAATCCCCAGCCTTGAAAGGGGGAAACTCGATCGGCTGCCCATTGCGGCACTGCTCCTTCATGAACCCGTAGTGATGTACCACGAGCCGGTAGCTCCTGGTCACCGGGCCAGGCGATGCAAAATCCAACGTCGTCGCCATGGCCGTGGCGGCGAGGGCTTTTGACGAGATTCGATTCGTTCGACGCAAATCACAGATGCGTGTCTGGGCTGGGCAGGTGGAGTTGTGGAGTTGCGGTCTCGCGGGGCGAGTTTTGGCAAACCACGGATGGGGGCTTTTATGCAACGCGTCGGTTGGCTCGAATTACCTCTGAACGACCGTCATCGGACTCGAATTCTTCTCGGAGTCGGCGGGGTTCTCAGAGCTGCGCATTGCTTCGCGCTCCTGAAGAGGCACACGGCACACCGCATCAGGGGCGGAGACAAGGCCAACTCCCCTACTTCTTCCTGCCTCTTACGCCTAGCGAGTTCGGCCAGATTCACCACTCCGGATCCATTTTCTTTTCTTTTCTTTCTTCCGAACCGGAATGTACCCTTTTCCATGAAAAGCGGATTCTTTTTCAAAAAACGGCAAAAATCTTAGCCGAGATTTGTATTTGACGGAGATAAAAAAATATCCCCAAAATTTTTAAGTGAAAAACTATGTCCAAAAAACATACAACTAGAAGAGTGTGCCACTCCTCCCACACAACTCTAGAACAACGACCAAACAACTAACAACTTCATGCCATTACTTACTCAACCTTGAGCCAACGTGATCAAAAGTTAAAACGACCCAACTAGCAACTCAACTCCACTGACATCAAGCTAACAACTAAAGCAACTCAGAACATCTCAACCCAAAACCAATTGGCAAAACAACTTAGTCACAAACCAACACCGAGCACAACTAAAAACTTCAATGTGCTACCAAGCACCACCATCAACACAAGTTGGAGCACCTCCATGTCTAGACGACACACAGTAGGAGCGAAACAGCGGAGTTGGAAGAGCCTAGCAACACCCTCATAAAGGAAATGACGCTAAAGCAGCTGACGATGCTAGCCCACTATGGAAAGGTTTTCACCTACAAATCCCACCATCGTAAGAGAAGAGAAACTAAAAGGACATCTCCAACAAGGAGGCGGGAAGCAGGGAGGTGAGGGTGGTGGCCACTGTGTCGTAGTGCTGACCCACTGCCTTGAGAAGCTACAGACTGAAGACCGGCCACCGCCCCGAGGAGGACAAGCGACGCACCAAAGACCCAAGCCCGCCAAGCAGAGTCCCCATGGCCGTCTCAACCCCTAGTTGCAGAGGACAAGCATGACCCGAAGCACAGGCTACACAGCCACGCAGATGCAGCCACCACCAATGAGGGGACGCCGAATTCGACTGCGGAACCGACAGATCAGACCATGGACCTAGAGGATCTAGCCATGTATCTCGTGGATCTGACCACCCTAGAGCCACAAGGACACCACCACTAAAACCAAGAGCAAGGACTGGTGACCACCAAAATGAGGATGCAAAGAGCACAATAGGGGAAGAGGAAAGGAATCCTCACCATCGCTGTCATCACCACTACCTGAAACCCCAAGCCAGCTGGCTCTGGCGGTGACAAGACGCAAGGGCACGTTATCGGAGGGTGATGGTGCGGGCATCTCACATCCACCCGAGCTGCTCGAGAGAGGATGTGAGCATCGACAATCATTAAGAACGGAAATCAAGAACAAAGTTCAAGGGTATCGACTTAAGGGACGTATAAAAGGATTTACATCCACACTTGACTCATATGAACATCAGACCTAACCACTCACAACCACCTGGACCACAGAGCATCATGATGGTATTAACCAACATAGATCACAGTTCTTAGATGAAGCCTTGCAAAGACAAACAAAAAACAAAAGATATTTCATCCATTTCATATCTCTCCAAGGTAGACACCATCACAATCTACCTTGAACAGATTTGAAATGGATGAAATATCTTTTGTTTTTGTTTATCTTTGCATGGCTCCATCTAAGATCTGTGATGTATGCTAGTTAGTACCATCATGATGCTCCATGGTGCAATTGGTTGTGAGTGGTTAGGTCTGATGTTCACATGAGTCAAGCGTGGATGTAAAGCCTTTTATACATACCCTAAGTCGATACCATTGAACTTTGTTCTTGATTTTCATTCTTAATGACTATCGAAGCTTGCGTCATCCTCTCTGGCAGCTCGGGACCCGAGATGCTTGAGCCATCGCCCTCCCCTCACGTGCCCTCGCATCTCGTCGCCGCCGGAGCCGGCTTCCAAGGTCCCAAGCTCTGACAATGACGGCAACGGTGAGGCTTCCTTTTCCCTTCACATGTTGTGTTCTTTCGCTTCCTCGTTTTGGTGGTCGCTAGTATATGCTCCTTGTTTCAGTGGTAGTGGCCTTGTTGGCTTCGGGGTGGTCAGATCCACAAGATGCATGGCTAGTTTTGCTAGGTCCATGGTTGGATCCGTCGAATCTGACGTTCCCTCGTTAGTGGTGGATGCAATTGTGTGGCTGGCTCGAGTCTCCGGCACATTGCCGGTCCTCCCCGGGTGGTGGTCGGCCTTCGTGTTGTAGCTTCTCGTGGCGGTGGGTTAGCACTATGACACTGTGGCCACCCCTTCATCTCTCTGCTTCCTGTATCCTTGGGGGAGCCAAGGACATATTCCCGTTGCTACGCCTATGGTGGGGCAACCGCGGTGCACGTGGTGGTATCCAGTATCAGCAGGGATGCCCGTATGCCATCATCAGTGCTTTCCTTTGGGACAACCATCCTTTGTAGGGGGCTCAGGGCGAAAGCTCAGACCACAGTGTCTACGCACGCTGCTTCCTCATTAGAGACGTCCTTTCCGGACATCTCCTCCTACTGTGCTAGGATTTACAAATGAAAACATTCCCACTGTGGGCTAGCATCATCGGTGCCTTTAGCGTTGTTTCCTTCCTGAAGGTGTTGCTAGGCTCTTCCGGCTCCGTTGTTTTGCTGCTACAGTCTGTCGTCTGGCCAGGATGGTGCTCGAAGTTATGTTGGTGGTGGTGCTCGGCAACACATCGAGTTTGTTAGTTGTGCTCGGTGTTGGTTTATCTGAGTAAGTTGGTTTGACAGTTGGTTCCTAGGTTGAAATGTTTTGAGTTGCATTAGTTGTTGCTATATGTCAGTGAGTTGAGTTGCTAGTTGGATTGTTTTGACCAAGTTGGCTCAAGGTTGAGTAAGTAGTGGCTTAAAGTTATTAGTTGTAATTGTTTGGTCGTTGTACCGAAGATGTGTGGGATGAGTGGCACACTCTCCTGGTTACGTGTTTTTTAGGCTTGATTTTCATTCAAAAACTAGACGAATTTTCTTTCTTTTTATTTCTCCATCTAATAAAAACTGCAACAAAGCTTTTGTCATCCTTAAAAATTCTGCTTTTAATGAAAAAAGGTATATTCCATCTCGAAGAAAGAAGAAAAGAAAAATAGGGAAACACTATACATGAGGTGCTTGTCTTTTTTCTTTTCATACCGGCGACAAACCAGGATTGTTGGATCTTGAACATGAGCGCTCGAGGCTGCAACGCTCGCCCCTGCCTCCCACTGGCCTGCCCCGTCCACGGCAACCTCCCGACCACTGCTTCTAGCTCCGCTATCCCCTGTCGCGCTAACCCAGCGTCGCGGGGCCGTACCTATGCCTCCCCTGCCCCACCCTAGGCCAACCGCTGTCCACCACTGCTTCGGCCCCCTGAGCTCTTTTCTAAAGCCGCCGCAGGGTGCAGCACCTCTAACACACCTAGCGCGTTCAGTCTCAGTCGCCTGGAAGATGTTCAGTTTCCAGGCGACTAGAAACAGAAGTTGGATCCACAGTAGTGAATTTGGCCGAACTCGCTAGGCCTGTACTCGATTGTTGAAGGCATCATGATAGAAGATGAAAACCAGCAATCTGTACCGGGTCCAAGTTACTAATGAAATGCACAAGCATTACAGCACTGTTTCTTGGCAACCTATTCACCGTTTGTGAGATCTACAGATAAGTCGGTTTCTGCAGACAAATGTGAGATTACCTTTTTTTTAAGAATTGCTAAACCTCAACCGGTTGATTTGGCCTCTCCAATCAACTGATTTTTGGGCCATCCGGCTAACAAGGGGCGCGGCCGATGAACAGGCAAGGCAGCAGGTGCGGCCAGCCTTAGAGCTCGTGGCCCCGGCCATGGCGGGCGCTGGGCTGGCGGGCGCGGCACGGGTCCGATGGCCGGCGACGAGGAGGGCCGACGGTCGGCTATGAGGAGGGCGACGAGGAGGGCCGATGGCCGGCTATGAGGAGGCCGATGAGGAGGGCCGCCCCTAGGCCGAATCACCGTTGCTGCTTCTTCTCCGGACTCTGTTTGTGTCCGCATTCAACGGAAGGGAAAGGAGGGAAGGGAAGTGCGCAGGCGACGGAAGGGAACGGATAAGGTTGGGGAGGTGGGTCCCACCACAATTTGGGAAAATTTGTTTTGAAATTTATGAAAAATTTGTGAATAATTTGAAATATATTTCTCTGGTATCTGCAATTCATAAAAATAATTTAAAAGTATTTCTGAAAATTTTGACATATATTTGTATTATCTCCAAATTACACCACCGTGTTCAATAAATTACACTGAAGAAATCATTGTAAATCTAGTAATAAGACAGTGTAAATATAGCTAGAAGACACTATGAGTACATGGAAAAAATTCAGTTGACAGGAGGGACGAAAACAACTGAATGTCACCTGGACAGATCTTTTTTTTATCTGTCTAGGTGACATTCAGTTGTTTTGGTCTCTCCTGTCAACTGAATTTTTCCCATACACTTACACCGTCTTCTAGCTATATTTACACAATCTTATTACTATATTTATAATGATTTCTTCAGTGTAATTTATTAGACAGAGTGACATAACTTAGGAATAACACAAATATATGTTAAATTTTTTAAAAAAATTACAAATTATTTCTATGAATTCCAGACATCGTGTCTTCTAGCTATATTTACACTGTCTTATTACTACATTTACAATGATTTCTTCAGTGTAATTTATTGAACACGGTGGTGTAATTTGGAGATAATATAAATATATGTCAAAATTTTCAGAAATACTTTTAAATTATTTTTATGAATTGCAGATACCAGAGAAATATATTTCA